TCCGAGCTACTTAGAGTGGCGCCCAAGAACTCCGAGCTACCCCGAGCCACTCCGAGCGGCTAGTAGAGCTCCGAGCACTTACTTGAGCTCTCACAATTCGAATAGACTTCGCAGGCCTCCGAGCCACTCCGAGCTAGGGCCCAGAACTCCGAGCTACTCCGAGCCACTCCGAGCGGCTAGTAGAGCTCTCAGAGCTCTCCGAGCTACTTGAGCTTTCACAATAGACTTCGCAGGCCTCCGAGCTACTCCGAGCTACTCCGAGCTAGGGGCGCCCCAGCACTCCGAGCTACTCAGAGCCAATCCGAGCTCCGAGCGCTCCGGGCGCTCCGAGTGCTTCGAGCACTCCCAGAAACTCCGAGCTACTATCCTGCGAGACCAGAGCCTGCCGTCTCCGGAATTGCAAGCTCTTCTAAGCCCCTAAAATAGTGGTGCCTCTGGGCGCCAAAGTCTACAATTGACAGACTCCAAAGTACAGAATTCTGAGCTATGGCTGCAAACAGCCCCCGCAAGCGCTGTGTGTGGGGATCATACCTGGACGTATGATCTTCCTGGATACGATTTTGGGAGACGAGAACCTGCAAAAATGCGCCTCTTGGTGGGTCTACCCTCCCTAGAGAGAGCACGGAAGTTGTGGAAGTCCCCACCCCAAGAGTCTCCCCCGAACCGTGGAAGTCACGGAAGTCATGGAAGTCCCCAGCCGAAGAGTCTTTCCCAAACCATGGAAGTCACGGAAGTCATGGAAGTCCCCGCCCAGAGAGTCTCCCTCGAACCATGGAAGTCACGGAAGTCATGGAAGTCCCCAGCCGAAGAGTCTTTCCCAAACCATGGAAGTCACGGAAGTTGTGGAAGTCCCCACCCGAAGAGTCTCCCCCAAACCATGGAAGTCGTGGAAGTCATGGAAGTTGCAGCTTATGGAGCATTTTGTGCCCAAACAAGGTTGAAAAAGAGTTCCAAGGGCCGTCTTGTAGAACTTCGAAGTTGTAGCTTGTGGAGGATTTTTGGCCAACAAAAATGTTAAAAAATAGCTTCAAGGACCGTCTTCTACAACTTCCATGACTTCCACGACTTCCAAGGTTTGGGGTGGACTCTTTAAAACAATCTATGGGGACTTCCATGACTTCCATGGTCTGGAAAAACTCTTCGGCACGGTGTATGGGGACTTCCATGACTTCCACGACTTCCATGGTCTGGGAAAAACTCTTCGGCACGGTGTATGGGGAACCAAGGGCGGAATTCCGACCTTGCTCCCAACAAGTCTCGTTCGACCCATTTTTTCTTTAAAAAGGGCCGCTGTCACAAAACGTCAAATTTGACGTCGGACGACAGCGTTCCGAAAACGCGCTTAATTTTGATCAAAAACTGGCCTTCCGACCCGATGCGGGGGAGCCTCACAAAACGCTCAAAAGCTCGCTACTCGTGGCCCGGGAGCAGCCCATGTAGCAAAACACCAAACAAGAGTTACGAAGGCCCGGTTTCTTGTCCCGGAACCAAACCGGGCGATCCCCGGGATCAAACCGGGCGATTCCCGGAACCAAACCGGGCGATCCCCGGAATCAAACCGGGGGATCCCCGGAACCAAACCGGGCGATCCCCGGAATCAAACCGGGGAATCCCCGGAACCAAACCGGGGGATCCCCGGAATGAAACTGCTTGTCCTTCAAATTTGAAGTGTATTACCATTTGATACACTTCATAGTCCGCCAATACGCGCTCAACTTCATCGAAAACCGGTTTTGTTCAGAGCTCACTGAATTCCAGTGAACCTTGAAGCAAGTCACAAAACGCTCAAAAGTTCGCTACTGGTGGCCCGGGAGCAGCCCACGTAGAGATGCTTCATGGTGAAATGGGGAGAGTCCACGTCGCAGAGCCAAACTCGGCCCCGGAGGGTCAGGCCCTGCACGGAAGCGTAGGTGATGGCGCTGCAAAGGCGGGTGTGCTTCAGCAGCTCCCGGGGCTCGAAGCTCTGCCCGCTTTCCAGCGTGACTCGCTCTCCCACTTCGCTGACGGTAACGAAGACGCCCTTCTGCACTTTGCCGCCGGCGCCCACGAGTCGCAGGCCCGGCCACACCCTCATGGTTTGGGGCGCATTAGTGCCCCGCCGTCTCCGGCCCCGCGTACTCCACCAGCAGCCCCGCATACTCCACCAGCAGCGCATATTGCGGCGCTTGCCTGCGATTCTCTCGCTCGTTGATCTGCAGTCGCTTGGCGTGGGAGATGACCAGACAGACCTCCGGCTCGCCCCTCCCCGGGAAGCGCTGCCGGGCCATCTGTACGGCTTCGCGCAGAGGCACCTGCTCTGCCTCGTCCACTCTCAGCCACTAAAAAAGGAAAAGAAAAAGACCCCCTCATCGAAGCGCCAGCGCTCCGAGAGCTCGTGGCACCAGCCGTCGGCCAGGTCGTGCAGCAATTGGCTGTCTTTCAGCTCCCTGCACACCTCCGCCCCTGCGAAGGAATCTAGAATCTAGGACGGCGGGAAGCTGCCGGAAGTCTCCGAGCAACAAGAAGCGCATGGAGGTGTTCATGCTCAGGCAGGCTATATCAGCCCACAGAGGAGTATCTAACTGAGTGAGCTCCTCGATGACCAGCCAGGTGGCGCTGCAGCTGCGCCCCGAGCCCCACATTCTGCACGGCGGCGTGGGTCTTCGTGATGATGTGCACGGTGTCCCCGAGTTCCCGCAGGGCCTCCACGATCTTGCGTGCCAGATGCGTCTTGCCCGTCCCGGGATAGCCCGTCAGCAGCAGGCTCTCACCGCCCAGGCAGTGTGTAAGAGGATCCTCCACGCGCCGCCACGCCGGCGGCTCTCCCTGATGGGCTCCGCCTCAATGCGAGGCTCCCGGTACTGCCCCCGCAGGCCCTCCGTCGGCTCGCAGCGATAGACAGGCGTGCCGTCCCGATGCGACAGGCGCAGCAGCCGCTCGATGGCGGAGCGGTGCTTCTTTGGCACGTCCTGCATCACCAGACAGTCGGTCTTCAGACATTTCAGGTAGCGCTTCGGCACCTCCGCCAGGGCTCGTCGGACCCTGGCCACTGCCGTATACTCCGCCCCCATGATGAAATCGTGCACCGGGCGGTAGCTGCTGTTGGAAAGGAGCTCGGTGACGAAGACGTGGTCCCAGTGCATGTGGCCCGCGGCATCCGTGAAGGTCTGGCGCCAGCTGCAGCCCTCTCCATCCACCTGGTGATTGGAAGTTCTCATGGAATAGACGAGGTCCAGGTTGCGGGCGAAGAGCCCCACCAGCGCGTTGATGGAAAGCTTGGCCATGTGTTTCTCCTTCCGGCCAGGCCCCTTCCATCGTCTGCAGCGCAGCGTCGGTCCACGTGCGCCGTGGCCTCCAGGCTCCAGCGAAAGTGGCGCCACTGCGCCAGCCCAGAGTCCAGCATCTCCGCACACAAGCGGGCTTGGAGTACCATCCTGCCCACATAGACCAGCCGGTCCAGAAGCCCTCTGCGGCCGTCGAAGGGCAGGTCCACGTAGGTGAGGTCCGCAAGCTCCCCCCTCCCGGGCGGGCACGATGCAGTCAAGGGACAGAAGACAGGAATGGGGAAGCGAGCGTTGGCCAGCCCGTTCTTCCGGCAGCGGCACACGTCGTTGCCCTGGCAGGGGCGCTCGGCGTCCCATTTCTGCAGCTGGTAGACCAGGGGCGGCAGCCGAGAGCTGGTGGCGTAGTTCTGGTTGGACGTAGCAACAGAAGCGGCGCTCCAGAGCGGTGCTGTGATTCCCCTCCACACTGGTTGGAACTTTGTGGCATTCGAAGCACAAGGCCTGGAGCTCCAGGGCCTGTCCCTGGTAGGTCTGGCGCACAGGAACGATGTGGTCCAGCTCGCAACAAGTGCAGGAAGACCTCGAGGCTGGCCCCGGCCAGCCGCTGCCCCCAGTAGGGCACGTCCACGCGCCGCCTCCACTTCTGGGCGGAGGGCCACTGGGCTGGTGCCCCGCTGCGAGCAGCTGGGCCCGCACGCTTCGCAGGTCTTCGCTCCGCCATAATCGATCTCCTCGGCCCAGGGCTTCCACTCCGAGAATTCGGAAGGGCTGGAGTTCTGGCGATGCCGCTCCCCAGCCCACCACGCGTGTCCGTTCCAGGCGGTGTAGGCTATGGCCCTTTCTTAGCCTTTCTTCCTTCTGCATGGGTTGGAAACAATCCAGAAGCCGGCCTTGGCAATCGACGAAGAACATGGCGGGGGCATTGCGCCAGACGCAGAAGGTTCGGATCTCTGCGGGCAAGACCCCCCGCTGCCGCCAGTCGCCGGAACAGATGGCATTGAAGTCCTGCGCAGAACGTCCTCTGGAGAGAGCTTCAGGAGCTCCGCGGCACGCAGAGCATGTCCGGACGCTTCTCGAAGGCGCTGGCCAGGATCTAGTCTGCGCCAAAAGAGCTGGTAGCTGACCTCTTGCAACGCTTCCAGGGGTTGGCGTAGGCGGATCTCGTGCCAGGTGTCGATCACCTGCATGGAGGGAAGTCGGTCTTTCCACTGATCATGTAGAGTTCATTCGCTTCGGGCTGGCCCAGCTGCCGGAGCACGGCCTTCTTGACGTTGCAGGCGATCTGCGCCTCGCTCCAAGCATCGTTCTGGCGGGACAGGCCAATCTCCAGGGCGGTCAGAAGGTAGTTATGGCGCTTGCAGCTGTTACCCCCTGCAGCGAGTGCCCCGGATGATCACAGGCACGTGGGCAAGCCACTCTGTGTACTTGTCCTTGAAAAACGCTTTCCCAGCTTCGTGACATGGTGCTGCCCGTTGGGCTGAGAGTTCTGACCAGCTGGCGCCTGCCGCTGCGCATGAGTATGTAATCTGAGGCCCCGTCTTAGATTCAGATGAGCGGCTCTCGTCGAACTGCCGGCTGGGCGGGCGTCGGCCCGTCAGTAGAATTGGCCTGCCCTGGCTGAATTGGGGGTGAGAAGAACGGAGCGAAGACGGTCGTCTCGGAGAGGCAGGAGTTGTGAGCCTTGCGCCGAGATCCTTGGTCTGGTCCCGGCGTCGGCTGCACGTCGTAGCTTCTTGTTGTTGCATCCACGATGATTTTATAGGTGCTAGAAAAAAATCGAGGTGACCGACCCGGGCCCCGGGACTGGACATGAGCCATATAGGGCCACGATGACGCCGGCCAGGGCGACGGTGGCGCAGAGGCATTCCCTGAGGGTCACAGGGCTCGCGCGTTCAGTGATCAGCGGACGGCATTGTTTTATGAGACGAAAAGGGACGATGAGCGGCAAGCCAAGCATGGCGATCAAGCTCGGAGATCTTGTGACCAATGCGAGGAAGTACTTCCCGATTTCCTCGGAGGCGGACCGGTGGTCTGGCAGCCGGCGGAGTGGCTCCGGCAGTGCTTACAATGGCGAAGAGACGCGGCGGCTGGCTGCCCCTGTGCCTGGAGCCCAAAGAGGAGGCGTGCGCGGAACTGGCCGCACTGGAGAAAGCCGTCGCCAGCCAGCTTTCCGAGCGCTCCCTGGACGAGCCAAAGCTTTTCGGGCGCAGGCAGACCACGTCCGATGTGCAGGAGAGATTCGCCTCAAGACCTCTTCTCCGATGCGCCTGCGAGGCCCGTGGCACGAGGGGAACCGTGTCAAGCTCTTCCCCACCGCCGAGTA